TGTTTGCATTTGGCATTACGTAGTCTAATTTTAAGTGAGCCACATGGAAAGTGTTTTCACGAGTCTCTCGATCAAATTTGGAACTCGGCGGCATATTTGGCGGCTGTCATGACATATTAATTAAAAAAAAACAACAATTGGGAAATAATAAATGTGGTGGTCAGTTAATTACACTTTCTTTGTTTGATGAGACGCTAAGGATAATGAATCGGTGAACAATGAAGCTGACTCATAATTGATGAACAAGGACGAACGGATCAATTTCGATCATGCATCATCAATTAATTCAATCAAAGGTCTCACAGCACATGACATCACCGCATTGCGAGCTCTTTGTGCACTGAAGGGACGAACGTAATTTTCACACATGATGAAGCGTAGTTCCTTTCATGCACGAATTATTTTGTTACTCGTGACGACGTTTTTATCCCTCCTCGGTTCTCCCTGCTTGCATGCCTCATGCATTTCTCGAAATTTGATCCACCCCGATCACACAGCGTGTCACATTTCGATCTAGTCACCTTAATCGTGTTACCAAATTTACTGTACGTGGCACATATTTCCGGCAGTGGATTATCTTTAGAAACAACGGTCGATCACCACCGACCGTCTTACGGTTTTGTTTCTTTTGTTCGTCTTTCGCGGTCATTGTTGATGACGCACGTAAAAACAGCTGAGACACGAGATCATGATAACTTGCTTTTCGCAATCATTTTCGGATGATGACCCGCGATTGTCCAGATCAGCGAATCTTTTGAAGTGAAAACGTACAATTGAGGTCACGGGTCCATTGTTCTCATGAATCGTAGTGTGTTTTTTTTTTTAACCAGGAACCTCATGAAAAAACAAATATATCGTAAATACAGTACGTATTTGTACATAGTAGATATACTGTATGTCTCTTTGGTGAGGCAGATGATACCAATAATACGACCTGGTACCAAAAAGGATACAAATGCTATGAAAATAATTTGTCGAAAAAACATATCACCTTCCACATACGGTAGGCTTCATGAACTTATCAGACATCCGGTTTTATTTACCATTTGCTCATGTCAGGCTGATTTGTTTTCGTAAACTTTCACCTATGCTGACCATTGTTTTCTCTCGTTAATGCGGCGGCGGTGACCGACGTTCGTTACTTCAGAATTCCAGTTCGTTCGTTCGTTCGTTCAATTCCTTTTCTTCTTGTTGCCAGCAATGAGGCTAGTGCGTCAGCGTCGGACCCAATGCGAAACATTGAGATGTCGATCCTCTCTTTTGTTTGCAAAAACGGCATTCAATTTTTCCATAGTATGCGCAAAATCGTTGATAAGGAATTCGGATCAGAAAGTCATCTTTCCGTGAATGGTTACCTAATTATTTTTGACAGCTTGGCTTCGTGTACTCCTACGTGTTACAAATTAAATGTGGTGTATGACATTCCGAATCGGTACCTTTTGAACTGGATTCGCATCTGTCACCTTCATGGTCACTACGGTGAGATTCTTAATCGGCACGCCAACGCGAAACACCTTAATAAGGAAATGGTTAGGTTGTCGACTGATTGATTGATCTTATTCGTCAATACATGACGAAAATAAACAGGTAAACAATATAATTAATTAATTAAATGATAGATAGAGCCTTCTCTCGAGGATACACCGAAAGTTCTAAATCGGAAAAGGGAAGTAAACAAGATGAATTCGAAAACATGCCGTCACCTCCGTTCACCTGAAGGGTGATTGGTGCTTCGGAAGGAGAGGGGCTGCGTCTCGTGTGTGCACAATCAATCGATTTATTGTTTCCTTAAAATAAATCACATTACGCGCTTCGCTATAAATGTATTTTGGAATTACTGTGTTGAACGAGCTCTTCAAATAGACCACCATTCTAGGTCGAGCATTCTAGGTTGAATTTGTTAAAGCCGGGATGTGAGCGTGCAAAACATACGCCCGGGGTCCGCGGTGCGCGCCGCAGCGTGTGTGCGTGCGATAATGCGAAGCAACGAAAAACTTGATTTTCGGTTTTCTGGTTAAACGGGTAAATCCGATAAAAGGGAATTTTTGGATCTTCCAAAGTTTGACAATCGAACCATTCCCAAATTTAAAAAAATTCGTTTACAATACAGTTATTTCCAAAAACCATGACCCATTTTAACAATTCATATTGTTTCCTGTGATGGTTGCACGCCGTAGAAAAGGATTGCATTCTTCGTTTATTGTCACCAATTCTCCTACTTTTTTTTTTTTTCCTTTGCCAATTCGTCTTTTTTGTTTTTTTTTCTCATCTATTTTTGTTCTCTATTCTCTAGCCTCATTCTCATGATCTGGTGCGACATTAGGAGATATACAGACCACACGCGTAGAAAAAAAATCTATTATTGTTGTAACAGTGACTTCAGAATAAAGCAAAATCGCACACACCCATTTTACTAATTGTTATTACCATTTCGGGTTAGCCTGGTGATCCGGCATCCCTTTGGGTTCTTGAGCACCCCCTCAAAAGTGGTGTAGCCAAGTTTGACTTTTCCGACCTACGAATATCGCCGAGAGTAATACCGAGAATAGTTAAAAGATCGTCAAGTCGTAACAAGTTTCGACCCGGTTCTCAGCAAGCTTGAAACTGGCGGTAGCGTACGAATGAATGTAGGGAATTCCATGTCTCGGTTTTGTCAAAGTGTTCTTAACACAATGGTGGGAAAAAAGACACATTGATACGCCCGAGTAGAAATCACTTCCTCCTTTTGGTCCATAATGTGAGTGCGAACGCGAGCGTGAATTAGTAATATGCCACCGGCAAATCGCAATCCTCCTTATTCACCGTAGGTGATCGTCTTTTCAGTTAGTTCAACTGACAAATTTCGAAATTAAGGTTGAAGCTGTGGAGCAACCATATGCGTCATGCGCGAACGTTTTCTTTGGGTGACACCGTAAAGGAATGTGATCCGCAAATCGACCAATTACGAAAGACATGAAAGTTGACCACAAATGCAAAACAAAAAGAAAAAAAGATCTTTCTAATCCAAACGCGACAGAAAAAAAAAGGACGCTCGTCAGAACGTCACGATAGACGAACGTTTCCCCTAACATGAACACCCACTTCTTTATTGAGCCGATCGCCCGACTGGGCAAATCAAATTCATAACAAGTTAAACACTGGTCAATTAAATTTGAATGATAGGGAAATTCGATGGAGATGATACAACAGCTAGTGTCCACGGAGGTGATACGATGGATGAGTGTGTATAGTATATGGTATGGCAAGGCTTTGTTTATCTCTGGAAAGAGCGAGTGATGCAGTCCAGCCACCATTGGGCTCGATAAGGAGACAAGTTTCTCACAACCTTAATTCTAAATCCTCATTGGATTCACTTTATCATTTCTCACGCCGAACTCTCATATTCATACTAGTTTATAAAGAGAAAACGGATTCCAAGGAATCCAAGGAATTCGTTATATGGAATGGCCGAAATGTCTATAGTCAATCGTGAGCCTGCGTTCGATCTCTCTTTAAAGAAGAAGAGTAAGACGAGAAATGGAACATTCGTTTTTCCGAAAAATCCAAAGAGGGCGCGCCTCGTCTTTCGGTGTTTTCCACGTTAATCACGTACGGGTCAACCGATTTTCATCAATTAAGAAGTCAAGATGGGCAAATTGGTAGATTGAAGGAGTGCTCTCCTACGAATGCGCGAGATAAGGAACTCGTTGACACATGAAAACCACACCATGATGATTATTAATTGATTCCTAAAGGCGCAACTAATATAGCATTCTAATGCGACAACAATGTTGCCTTCCAAGACACTGACAAAAGGATCGCGGCGTACTCGAGACATATTTGCCATAGGACCAATCAAAATTAGGTTATCCTGTATCTTTTTGCCTGGATTTTCTCATATTTGCACTTCAAGATCCATACCGGAACCGACGAGTGAGAAAATTTCTGGATTGGCGGTTTAAGAGTTTACACAGTCCCTGAGGCACGCAATGGCACAATGGGAAAATTTTAACATATAGAGTATTGTCACGTGACTCCTACGTTGAAGAAAAGCCTTGTTTTCATTAAAAAAATAGATTGTTATGTATCGTTCGGCATTAATGCAAAATGAGATCGATTCTTGAAACACACTGGTTTTGTTTTTTATCAGTACTTAAAAAAAAAGAATTTTTTTTTGTTTTCACGAGTTCTTGCGTTATGCCAGATAAAATCATAAACATCAGACCACCGTGCGCATGCACGGACGCTTCCTCTATGGTAACCTTGTGTAAATTGAAAATTATTCTAATCGGTCATTTAAACAAAGTCATATAAGGTGAAGTTAATGTATATTCTCGTAGGTAAAATGTGATGATATCAAGACTATCCAAGATGGGAAAGTTCATAAAGCAAAAGGTGTTATTCGTGAGAGACGAATTTGAGAACATCGATGTTTAGAAGGATGTTTTATTGAGATTGAATTTTGTATAATCTAAATAATTAAAAATTAGAATTGACGAAATCGATTGGTCGTATCATCTTTTGTTATTGCATAAATGTTTTCAGATAATTTTGTTTTTATTTACTGTGTCTATTCCCTCATGAATCAAACTTTTCTTGCTTTATACGTTTGTGCAATGAAATAAATCAATCTCTTATCAAAAAAAATTTTTTTTTTTTTTTTATAAACTACTAGCATTTATTTATATGCGATGCGTTTCAGAATTATTGGAAATTCGAAATCGATAAAATTAATAAAAATCAAATTAATTTTTTTTTTCTAATTCCCAACCTTTACTGTATATTAACGTTAACGATTGATCTAAAAAAAAATCAATGGATCGAGCAATAAGGTTTTAATCTACTCCCTGCGACCAATTCGGTTTTCCCTGCGCACGAGTTTCCGCTGTTCATATCCGCAAACCTAATGAATCTGGAATCCTGTATTTTACAATGTTTACAATGTTTTGTTATTCTTAGATTATTGTCAGCTGACGATATTATTATTTTTTTTTTCTTTTGCTATCGATTAGATCGATCATATTCAAAATGTATACAATGGGTGTATATCACACACTGCACATAATGCGCTACGCCTATAATTGGTATGCCTAATAGCAAAATTACAGTATATTTATTCTGAAAGAATAGTAAAAAATACAGTATATAGGAAAAAAAAAACACTAAATTAAAAATCGATATACAGTATATACTGTATCTTGATTTTTTACAGTGTACTGTATGTGGTTTCAATACAGCACACCGTATCTTCAAATATACCGGATTTGTTATGAGAGTCAAATTTGTTATCAACGGAGAAACGGGTTTTTTAAAAAAGAATCGGTGATGGCGTTGATCGTTTTTAAATTGGTATCGATTAATACATATTTAAAAAAAAGGTTTTTATTTAAAAAATTGTACTAACCAAAATTTTTATATGTAAAAATATATTATTATTATTAAACTCTATTATAAAAAAAATTTTTTTAATTCTAATTTTATAAATTTAAATGTAATGATCTTTAAAAAGTAACTTTTTAAATGCAATCTCTTGGAATCTATAATAAAAATCCATATTTAAAAAAAGAAGTTCTTAAAATCATATACTGTATATTGATTTATAATCATGTTTGATAATATATATTTTTTTAAAAAAAAATGTATTACTTATACAGTATATTATTTAATATACAATATGTTGCAAAACTTTTTGAAATTTTTTATAAAAAAATATATAATATTATTGTTATTATTAATTAATTTTTAGATTTATTTTATTTAAATTTACAAAGTTATAAAAATTTCATATTTTATTTTTAATATTATAAAAAAAGTAAAAAATATATAGATTAAATTAACAAATTTTTAAAGTTATTGGATTAAAATTTATATATAAAATTTGTATTATTATAATTTCTAGATTTTAGGCTTTATTTTGATATATTATTTATTAATTTTTTGTGATGGTTTTTAAATAACAAATAAATAGAAAATTTCAAAAAGTTTTGCAATATACTGTAAATCTATAATTATTTTTATTAATTCTTTTATTAATTTAAAAAAAACAAATATTTTTAAAAGATTTTAAATTTTTATAATAATAGAATCTATATATTTTAAAAGTTATATCTTGTTTAATATTTATATCTTTAAATTTAATAGCTTAAGTCAATTAAAAGTCTTTGAAATATTCATTAAAAAATTCTGGAATTGTGTTTGACTTAATCATTATGACCTTAGATTTAATAGAAAATGTCAACTAAAGAATATACTCTTGAAATATTTATTAAAAAGTATATATTTCTATTATAATATCCTTTTTATCACAGTGGTTATATAAATTAAAATCGAAATGTAATAAGCAAATTTGTTAAAATATTTTAATCTTGAATTATTTAAGTATACTATTTTTTTAATAATTTAAAATAAAAAATATTAGAATATCTGATTGTTTTACAAATAATCCTTGCAAAATAGATATTTTTAATATAATCAAATTAATAGGTTAGATAATTTAAAACTAGTAATAAAATTTTTACCTTTTAATAATTTTATCTGACATATTGATCTATTTTTTTAGTAATAATTAGTATAATTAAATTATAGATATTAAATGTAAATTAATTTGTAATAGAGATAAAAAAACTCTTTTCGTTGATCCTTTTGCCAACCCAAAAAACAGACGTTCTCAAAAAACTTTTTGTTTTTATGATAATAAAGTCTATACACTTT